ACAAGTTCCACTGCAGCCCACAGCACTGATGACTTCAGACAATGGGAACATGATATCAGTATTTCTGATACTCCTTCATCTGCTTCCTAGAGCAGATGAAGGAGTATCAGAAATACCAGGCTCCAATTTGCTACCGAAAAAAAATCTTTTTATATTGTACCCACAGATATTGGAGCGAGCTCCAACAATCACACAGTCCAATACGAACTGACGACAGGCAGTAATGGCAAAGAAATAGATCAGGAATGATACAAGGGGAGAAAAAGTGCTCATTGCATCATGGGAAGTCCACCAGTAGGCTGAGCCTATATAAGTACTATGCAAAAACTAATTTTGATACGGTATGTGTAGATGCAAAACAGAGTCAATTACAATGAGCTTGCCTGTCAATATTCAGTATGACCACCTTTATTCTTCAACACAGCCTGAACTCTATTAGGCTCATTAAGCAGTCTTCAGGAATACTTCTCCAGGATTCTTGAAGGACATTCAAAACTCGTCTTTGGATGTTTGTTTCCTTCTGTTCCATTCTCTGTTAAGATGATCTCACACGGCTTCAATAATGTTGGGATCTGGGCTCTGGAGAGGCCAAACCATGACTGCTAGGATTCCACTTCGGGGTTTTTTTCTGTCTCAGTATGACTTTGCAGGATTGGTAGCGTGTTTGGGATCATGCTGAAAAATGGAGCCAGATGATATTGCATGGTGGACCAAAATCTGATGGTACTTTTCTCTGTTCATAATTCCATCAATTTTGACAAAATCCCCAAAACTAAAGGTAACCTCAAACTATGACATAGCCTTTTTGATGTATGCTCAATCGTCCAGGTAAGGAAATATCTAAAAAGTAGATTCTGTTCATCTGGACTTAGAATTTTTAGTTGGGCGACATGTTTTCACCACCCATTCATAGCAGAGCCTGCACTGTGTTTTGCAGATGACAGGGACCTTCACTTTTCATGCATACTGATGACTGGATTGCAGGATTTTTGTCCTATTTATTAAGGATGTGACTTTCAGATACTGTTTACCTGCTAAAGCTAGCTTTTGCTTTTTTAGGCCTGCCTCCACTGATCCAGTTTCCTCACATTTTTTAAGGACACACTATGCCAAGTTTGAACTCGACACTGGTTCATCCCTTGAGTTAGGTGTCTTCACGGGTCAGTGTTAAGAGTCTACTCTGATGTTCAGAAACAAGAACTGGGCT